GAGAGGGAAGGAAGAAAGGAGGGAGGAAAGAAGGCAGGAAGAAAGGAGGGAGGAAGGAAAGAAGGAAGGATGGAAGGAAGGGAGGGAGGAAGGAAAGGGGGAAGGAAAGAGGGAGGGAAGGGAGATGAAGGCTGACATTTTGAAACTCTCAGTAACCTGGGCAAATCTGTCTTAATACAGGACTTTGGACCCTATTAAAAACACCAAATGGCAGCAGCCATGATAAAACACGCAGCAAAGAGGCGCCAGAAGATTCATTATTGCCCAGTTGGCCCCATCTGAGTTAGTGGTCTTACTTTTTTGACTTTTGCATTTCAAAAGTCTGGGTCAGTTTCGTGAAATTCCCCTTAAGCCACTGGCCCAGCTCTGAGACCTCTGCTCATTGCTTTGATGTTCATTCATTCATTCATTCATTCATCCAATAAACATTTATGAAGGGTGCCTTGCTTTGCTCCCCCGGCCAGTGGGGGAATGAAGTCGCCACCTCTGTCCAGACTGCCACAAAGCCCCGAGCCAAGCGCTGGATGGAAGCATAGTTAGTTAGGGGCAATCGGAACTGGCTATTGGACCAGACCCAAAGAGAGCTCACTAACGGCCATCTTGAATGGAGACTGGCAGTTGAGTATCCTAGGGCCTATGCTGGTCACTATTTTTATTTAATATTTTGATATTTCTCATTTATTCTGCATAACATGCCTGTCACATCTGCAGAGGACACATGTGGCCGAGGTGGGAGGGAAGCTTATACGTTGGCCTAAAAGTCAGGACCCCCAAAGATTGACGAAAGGAAACAAAAGGAAATGGGATAAAACAGGATAGAGAAAGAGGGTTGGTCCTCCTTTCTTCCCATAGAAAGAAAGTGTTTCTTTCTGCTGACCTTCAATGTGCATCTCTGTCACTTCACCCACGGCTCCTTGGTCTCCCCCTGAACCCAAGAAGGCCCAGCCCAGCCCCACTCCGCACGTGGGGTCTTCAAACCCTGGTGGGGTCTCCCACTATGACTCACCACCCCTCCCCCCCTCCCCACCCCGTTCCTACAATTAGTCTGACGCACTGACCACCCAGCGGCTACTTAAATGGAGGGCAGGCTGGAGATCCCCAAAGCAGCATTTCCTAAACCCGGGGATGCTCTTACAACAGAGGACAAGGTCATGAGTGAAGGAAGCCAGGGCGTGGGCGCTCCAGAGGCCTCTCCAGACCCTTAGGGCAGGCACTTAGCCTGCCTCAATCCTGGACGGCCCCAAAGGGAGGCACGGAGGGGAGGAGGGAGGCAGGGGCCCATCCCGGACGGCCTCCAGCAGAGGTGGCTGGAGAGAGGCTCCCCACTCCCATGCCAGCTGGATTAAGTGGCTTCAAGGGGTGAGGAGCCCTGGGCTGGGTGCTGGAAAGGTCTCTGGGACACACCATTCCAGGGTGAGAGAGATCCCAGGGAGAAGCCCGAATCAAAGTCTAAGGATCCTAAGTCAGTCGCCCAATGGTCATGGCCAATGTTGGTCCAGTGGGGAACAGTTAACAGACAGAATGGTGAAGGAATGGATGCTGGCCTTAGGTTAGCAGCTTTAATGCTCTCTAGTCTCCATAAAAGGTTCTCCTCAAGGCCTAGATATTGCCCTTCCTTTCTCCAGGGCCCTTTCTACTCTTACTAAAGCAGAAACCAGAATCTCCGTATCCAGTGAACAGCATGGGCCTTGCTCACTCCCAGAACTGCTCCTTCGTAAAGTGAGAGGAGGGAGGATGGAAGAAGCAGTGATTTACTACCAGGGGTGATCTGTCACATAGACCTACTTAAAAAAGCGCCTCCTCTAAGGAGAAGCCGAGTACGGGAACGCGGCAGGAACGTGGCTGGACTCCCACAGTCCATACATGGAGGCCAACGCCCCAAAGGGCATCTGGGCAAAAAGCGATGAGAAACAGGACGTGGGATCAAAGCACAAAGCTGACCTGTAAAACTTGTTTAAAAAAACAAGCCACAGAGCTGAGATGGACACGCCTGGGAAGGCTGTGATCTCCCCAGGCCGAGCTGGCTGCTGGGGACCTGGGACCTCTCACTCTGCTTCCATGTTTCCCCTTCAAAACGGGAACTGTACATCCACCCCCCCAGAGCCATGACAGCCGGACACTGTGACTCAAACTCCCAACCTCTGCCTCTTTGTCCCCTCTCCCATCTGCCTACACGCGGAGGCCACGTCATCGGACGTCACACAAGGCAGGAGGTCAATGGCATTTCTGCCAGGCTGTGACTTACTGGAGCAATGCAGCTTAACGGGAGGGAGACACAACTCCTTGGCAATATCGGTATTTTTGATGGTTAAGGCCTCTTCCACCTGAGAGTTGTAAATGAAAAGACACAAACATCAGATGTGGCAAAGGACTCGTCTTCTCTTACAGGCCGTATGAGAAATGGGAAGAAAGGAGGACCAACCCTCTACATAGGGCTCATTTTTTTAATGGATACAGTGTGTTTTCAAATCAACTTCATCTCAACCCCGCCCCCCCCCCCCCCCCAAGCATTGTTCTTTATAACAAGGTTGTGGGATTTTTTGCTTAGTACCAAACCAACCAACCAACCAGGATAGTCCTGAAGGCCTATGAAGGGCTAGGTACAATTTACAAATGTTATGTGTTCCTAGCCTATCTCTTTCATACTCTCTGTCAGAGTTTTTGAATGAGTAAAGGCTTTTTTTGGTCAGCAATTCCAAGTACCAGTGAAGGAAATTAGACAACACAGGTGGAGAACCTGTGGGAACGTCTTACGGATCTCTTTGAATCTAGCATTTTATAAGGACCCAAAGAAGTCAGAACTGGGAGCACTCTTAGAGATTTCTGGTAGTTGTTCAGTCGTTTCAGCTGGGGTCTTCTTGGCAGAGATAGTAGAGCGGTTTGTCATGTCGTCTCCCACTCATCTTACAGATGAGGAAACTGAGGAGAACAGGGTGAAGTGACTTGCTCAGGGTCACCCAGCTAGGAAGTGTCTAAGGCTGGATTTGAACTCAGGAAGATGAGTCTTGCTGACTCCAGGCCTGGTACTCTGTGTACTGCGGCGCCCCCGAGCCACCCACTCTTAGAGATCAGCGTCCAATTTAAATTTTACTTAAGGGAAACTGAGACCCAGGGAGAGGAAGTGATAACAGAGGTCTAGGCCAGAGTCTACCCCAAGTCTTCTGATATTCAGGCAGGTGGATTTCCCACCACATCATGCCAGCTCTCATATGGAACAAGTAACAGCACTTATTAAGCACCTACTATGTGCCAGGCACTATGAGCATTAGCCAAAACCAGATGTCAGAATGTGTTGTGCACACACACTCATGAAACTGTGAGTTTAGGAAAAATCAAGGTTAGGAATCAGCAGCGAGATTTCCAACCTAATTTTAGTAATGTTCGGTGTCTCCTCACTCCTCAGGTGGCACTGCAGAGCTCTCCAAACAGGAGTGCCACTCCCCTACTACACAACACTCAGGGGGTGGGGTCCCAAATCAGACCCATGAAGGTCAGGTGCTGCTGCCTGATAAAAGTCAGCAATCCACAGGCTAAGTAAGGCTTTGGAGGTCAGGCCCGCCCTTGGCTATGGCTGGGACATCTCTGATTCTGGCCTCACCTCTCAGAGGGTCCAAGAGCTTCTGAAGGCAGTGACCATGGCTTCTGCTCGAAACTGGTGGCAGGCCACGGTGCACGTGCCAAGGCCTGGGACCGGCTTCTGATTTCTTTCAGAAGAGATACCAGACTGTTGGCTGCTATGGCGAGTATGTTAAATAGACGTGAAACAAGAAAAATGTTAAAGGCCAAATGGAATAGCTCCTCCCCCACCAAAAAAAAAGCAAATTAAATCTGACAAAAACTCCCAACGAGAGCAGAGCCCACGGGAGGGAGAGCTCATCGCGGGAAGCCTGTCAGTGGCCTTACCGTTTTCCCTTTAACCCATTCGGTGGCCAGGGAGCTCGAAGCGATGGCAGAGCCACAGCCAAATGTCTTAAACCGGGCATCCACAATCTTCCCTTTTTCATCCACTTGAATCTAGAAAAATAAAATGGGTCTGGACTCCTTGGGCCACATCTCAGGGCCCGTATCCCTGGGGTGACTGGGGTCCCCAGGGCCTGTCTGGGAGCACTCATCTGCCTTCTACTACATTTTAGGCATTTAATGACAGACTCAACTTCATTCCAAAGCTATGTGTGAGAAGTTGTCGGCCAACACAGACAGGCCTGCCTGAGAAGGCCGGACCGTTTCTGCTCCACTCTCTAACCCCCCCCCCAGGGCAGTGTCCTCTGCCTGGGGAGGATGCAACACTTAGCTCTGGTTGCAGTTTCAGGTTATGGCTTTTTCCTGTGTCCCGGGGCCTTTTCAGAGGTTCTCTGCCAACTTGTTTCTGTACTCCAAGATAAGACTGAAAACCTCTGGCAGGCAGACAAGCAGCCTCCCTCCCACCATGATGAGGCAATTGGTAATCAAGCTGAACTCAAAAAACAACCACGTGAGGCTGGGCTCTCCACGCCCAATCCTGCCCCTTGACTACTCGGGGGTGGGGGTGGGGGGTGGGGGGGCATCAGCCACAAGGGGATGTCACAATTCTGAAGAGCTCATCCTCACTCAAGGCAGCTAATCTAGGATTAATTTATTCCAACAAAAATACTGTTCAACACCAACTATGTAACACCTAATAATTAATATTAGGCTTATGGGATCCTAGTTTTAGGGGTCTTGTTTAACACCCCCTCCCCCAATTCGGTACACACCTTACCCTCTGCTAATGAACTTGAGTTCACAAATTCAGTGGAAGCAGAATCCTAGCTAATAAAAGAGAGGGGAAATGGCAGCAAGTCACTGTGACTTTTTTTTAATCTTCCCCCAATTTATTTATTTATTTTTAGTTTTCAACATTCACTTCCACAAGATTTTGAGTTCCAAATTTTCTCCCCATCCCTCCCCTCCCCCACCCCATGACAGCCGGTATTCTGATTCCCCCTTCACCCAATCTGTTAACCCTTCTATTTCCCCTCCCCCCTCCCCTCCTATTTTCTTGTAGGGTAAGACAGATTTCTATACTCACTGTGACTTTTTTTGGAAAGACAAAACCCACTCTTACCTGTAATTTCATAACATCTCCACAAGCTGGCGCCCCCACCAATCCAGTGCCAACGTTTTTGGATTTCTTGTCAAGGGACCCTACGTTTCTGGGATTCTCGTAATGGTCAACCACCTAAAATGAGAGAATTGTAAAACAAACATAAATATTCCAGCTATAAAGAAGAATTCCTTCCCTCGTGGGGAGGACAGGGGACCAAGGCCTCCATGAAATCTGCTGCTTATAACTTGGGGCCACACCATGAAGCCAATGCTCCACAAGGAATCCCCCTCCCCCCAATCGAGCAGCGGCATTTTGGACTCTGGTTTCACCAAGGTTCATGTGACTCAGTCCATCAGGTTGGTTACTGTCTTACTTGGGGCACAAAGGTCCATGTGATTCTCAGCACCTTCTGACACCCTCACAGCCCAAGGGTGACGCCATCACTTGTGTCTGATTCACTGGTCACCATAGGGATGGGGACTGGAAATTCGACTTCACTGGTCTAGGGAACTCCCAGTACCAAAACAGGTGAGCACCTTCTCTGCCACTCTGAGAAACTTGCCTAAAGTAGTGGAGTCAATCAGAAATGGCCCTGGCTCACAAAATGCCTTCATTTTAAAGTGGGATATTATCCGTTTGATTGTATTTTTATGGGGATGCTGTGGGCCTGTCTGACACCCTGGCCTAAGGTGCTGAGAGGTTAGGCACTCCACCCCCAGGGCTTCCAGGCTGTCTATCCCTCAAGGGTCGCTTGTAAATAGGACAGAGCACATGGCCAATGGCACCAGAAGCCAGGGAAGCTGGTGGGCACCCCGAATAGATCCCTCTAGTGAAGAAAATAAAGGGACATGAATCACAGGGGATCAGGAGGTGATGACATCATGGGTCCCCTGATGCAGAAAGAGGACTTGTCACTCGGATGCTTCTGACCAGAAGCAGTAAGTTGGCCAAGGCCATTCCCTTGGAGGGCCACAATACTGCAGGTGCATGCACATGCACATGCACATGCAGGGGGTCAAAGAGGAGTTGCCAGCCCTGTTACCTGCACTGGCTCCAATAGCGGCCCATGAGGTGCAATGACAGATTACAGTAACTGAAAACCCCACAAACAAGGGCACGGCCCTGGAGCTGGGCCCCACCTCTACTGTCCACTGAGGTTTTGCCTCTGGGTAATGAGAGCACAGTTGTGCCTGTGAGGTGGGCCCAGGGAGGACACTCTGAGAATCTCCAGGTCAGGAGGCACACGGAGAAAATCATTTCCTCCTCAGTTGTCCGTCACAACTCATTTTAGAGCAAAACCCCATCGTCTAGCCAGCCGAGTCTTCGGGTCCCCAAGATAGCTCAGAACGGCTTCTGGCTGTTCCCCAAGGGCAAACCCACCACCCTGAAAACAAAGCTCTGCTGTCACGGGCTGCCTGGAAGGCATCCATTCATTCCACCAGCTGGTCCCGGCAGGTCTTTCCAAAGAGAAGATCCCTGTAAGAAGGTGCCATGTGAGACTAAGGGTGGAATTTGCTCTAATATCTCTGGCCCACCCTGCACAGGTTACTTACTTTGTCAGACCACTCCCATTCTCTGTGTCACAGGTTGGGGACAGCCCAGAGCATGAGGGACCTCCCTTATCACAGACTCTGGCTGCTGAGCCAGCTCCAGGGTAATGAAAACCACCTTGGGGGTGGGGGAACGAATCTCCAGGCTCAGGAAAAACAGGAAAACTCAGTCACAGACACCCTGCTTCTTATGAGGCAGGAGAAGCAAGGCTGAGGTTGCATCACCACCTGCCAGCAAAGGCTCCAATGGGCCTGCCAAGCAGACTTCCAGGCCTTGTTTGAATTGGTCATGACATATCCTATGTGGCCGGGGAGTAGACACCCTGTGGGTCAGACGTGGGATCAGTTGTGACACAACCCACGTGGCCAGGGAGTGGATATCCAGTGGGCCAGATGTGGGGTCA